CAATTCCCAGAATTCCCCAGCCAGCCATGCTGGCTGGGGAATTCTGGGAGTTGAAGTCCACACATCTTAAAGTTGCCAAGGTTGAGAAACACTGAACTATAGTGTCTGTGGCACTATACAAAATCAGATTTATAATCTCAGTGAGAACAAGCCTTAAGAATCTGCAAAAACAGGGCAATTATTTTTCTAATTCAGGTAATATATTTTGCATCTATTGAATTAGCAGGACACATTTTGTTCCACTGGCTTTAAGATGACCTGCAGAACATTAAGAATTTGAATTGGCCTCAGAATGTTGGAAAACTTCTCTCAACTGATCATTTCTGGCTCTTTGTTCTATACCACAATACATTTCACAGGATGATTTTCAGGTCCTAGATATATTTTTAGTGCAGAAACAACTACATCACCAAATGATATCTGTTTTAGATGGCTACATTAAAACTACCATGGTGGCAATTGACTATGATTCGTTAAAAAGGAAGCCACGGCCTCCCATCAACGTTCAGCCAAAGCACCCAGACAGTGATCAAGAAGTCTATGATGATGTTGGGGACCAGGACAGTATCAGCAGGTAGGTCACAGACTTGTAAACGAAGCGATAGGCACCTCGTCCAACCACTAAGTAGAATTGCCAGTTCTCAAATAATGTGCAGTCCAGCCTCTTATGCTGATTTATCCTTCCACATCTTTAGATATTCCCCAACCTGCTTTATTCCAGATGTGCTGGACAAATCTGCAGTTGCCACTAAATTTTGCTTTTCAAAAAAATTCATCTTTTAATTAAAAAAAAAAAATGGGAAGCTGACATGCTGCGCCATTTTTATACCTATAAGCCTCATATAGGATGATGATGATGATGATGATGATGATGATGATGATGATGATGATGAAACTTTGTTATGGCCGCCCACTCCAAAAGACTCTGAGTGGTTTACAAATCAGACCGCATAATTAAAACAGTAAAAACCATAATAACGTAACAGTAAAAAACCATAACAGAACAACCCAAACTAAAAAGCAACCATAACAAGAATCATTTTTTTTTAAAAAATGGCATAGGCTCCACAAACATATAAACTCCAGGCCTGGAAACAGAGCCAGGTCTTAAGGGCCTTCTGGAACCCCGGAGAGTGGGCGCTCTGTATCTGGGAGGGATGAGATGATGTTCCAGAGGGCAGGGACAGTGACCAAGAAGGCACACTTCCTATATGGAAAATAAATATATTGAGTGGCTGAACTGCAGTACTTTAAAGTATGCCCAATGCCCAGAAAAAGAAAAAAAAAAGGTAAGCTAGGAATAGTACAGAATATCTTGGGGGATTTATAGGAGATAGCAAAGAGAAACTACTACTCAGAGTGAAAAGGATGCATCAGAGTGCATTGCTGGTAACTTCTTAAAGCAGCTGAGTCTTTTCCGAATCACATAGCTGTAGTGCAGTCCTGGGGAAAGACATCTTTGCTGTAAGGAGTTGCTGACAGTGCATATGCTGTAAAGCAGTGTTTCTCAACTTTGGCAACTTTAAAATGTCTGGACTTCAACAGCCCAGCATGCTGGCTGGGGGGTTTTGGGAGTTGAAGTCCAGACTTCTTGCCAAGGTTGAGAAACCCTGCTGTAGGAGGATTGGTTGGTGAAGATGACAGAATTAGCAGAGACAGCAACACTGGCTTGTCTGATTAGGGAAAGGACAATAACCACATTTATAGCGACTGGAACCCCCTTATGGATTTTTTGCTGAAGAAAGAAAAAAAGGAACTTGTTATTTATAGGTCTGATGATTAGAAAGGGTAGACTATGGAAAGGAGAAAATTATGATGTAATCTCAGAGAGAGATGGCGAAATAGAAATGCATTTATAACTGCTGTTAAAAAGATTGGAAGCTGCTTCTTTATATCTTTTCTTTCTCTTTTCTTTCTATTTCTTATTTTCTTTCTCATCTAGTCACTATTTTTCTTTATTTTTTCTCTAAAACTTGTATTGTTTTTATCTTGTTAAACATTTCTTTAAAAAGAATTATTAAAAAAAAAAAAACAGCTGTAAAGCACCTTTCTCCCTTTGAATCCAGAACATTACACAGCCCTAGCTGGCTGGGGAATTCTGGGAGTTGAAGTCCACATATCTTAAAGTTGCTAAGGTCCAGAAACACTGGGCTAGAATGTAACTGGCTATTTTGTGCCAACCCAGTAGGATAACTGAGTAAACCATGAATATAGTTCTATACAATTCTGTATAGAACAAAGTCCCCTTGTGTCAACCCTTCTGTGACCATACCCATGGCAGATTCTTAAAATTCCAAAGGTCACCACTGGTCCAGAAAATGCTGTCATTTTTCTCAAATAACAATTATAGAGATCAGCAGTATGAAAAGAATTGCTGAGAGTGATTGACCCTTAAATTGGACTATGCGTGCATGTGCAAATATGTCTGGTTTTCTTTGCATTCAACATTTTGTTTTGCTCTGTTTGTTTTTATGGCCAAAGTGGAAGTCAAAGTGCCATGGGAGGTAAGTTCTACTTTTGCTCATGTCTTGAGATAACAATTATACCAGGAATCCTCAGCACTGTATATGGGAGCTACAATTAGATCCATTGATATTCTTTTTAAGAATAGAAACCTAGAATTGATCCATGTGAAGCATAACCTGTATTTCCAACAATGCTTCTGGGCCCCACACAGAGCCTAGAGGCGTTCTTGGAAAATAAAATGGTGGGTAGCTACTGTACAAGGCTTTATCTACCTTTTGGTATATAGGGGGTTGTGACTGGCCAACCAACTATGGCAACTATTTGGTGCCCATCATTTCCTGTGATTGCTGTCCCCAGAAGAACCCCTCAGTTACAATTTATTTGTCAGCCAGTCCAGCATGACTAAGCTGTGGTTTCTACGTAGGTTTTGAATGCTAAGCAAATCTATGATTTGCTTAATAATTGCTGACAGGATTAACCCCAAATGTCTGTATTCACACAAGATTCTAATCTATAAACAGTGGATTACCAATTAACTGGAGTAGTTTAAGATGGGTATGGTTTCATCTTAAGAAAGTGAACTCAAAATAAGATGATTCTCCTAATAATATTTCAGCAGTCATAATTCAGAGTAAAATTACGACTCTAGTTCATAATAACAATTAGCAAGTAACTTGTTTACACCACAAAAATCAATCAACTCATAATGCTCCCATTACTAAAATATTCCTATTAATTTGAGACCAATAAAGAGGACTTTCAAGTTTAGCCAATCAAAACCTCTTCCTCTGACTACCTCCCATTCAGCACCAAGCAAAATCAGAAAAGTTTGCCCTGTGCTAAAGATTCAGGGTAAACAGGTTTATTTTCAAAACAATGATCATGAAAATAAAGCCTGAACCATAATCACCATATTTGTTTTAAAATTGAATATATTTTAACTTTTTTAATAGTAGTTCCAAATGGAGAGAGTGGATAACTACTGAATCTGCAAGCTATATTACTCATTTGATCAGGTTCTTCCCCAGACCTTTATTAAATATAACTTAATCCATCATAAAATCCATACAAGACATCCCATTGTACAGGGGAGGACTAAGTATGTGCCTATTGTTAATGAGCAACAAGATGCCAGCTTAGATTTGATTGTCTTGAAAAAGAACACTCTTCTCTGACAGGGAGATATGAGATCTGTAGTCCAGCATGTGTGGAAAGCCCCAGGTTGGGCAAGAATGAAATTGAGGACTGTCTTCTGTAAACTAGGAGATCTGTCCATCTTAAATCTGAACTCAGTAAGATTTTCTGAGTAGAAATGTATTGGATGCACTGTAAATAACTTTAAGTGTATTAGGGAATTGTATATATACCTTAGCTATTCTGCAGTTATTCCTTGTACCCATAAACTCCTCTTGCTGCAGAATTTCAAACTAAAAGATGAACTGATTTCTAAACTCCATTTTTACCTATTTCTTCCCCCCATCCACTTAAAATAGGGTTTCCACCTCCTCCACCAGATGACATTTATGATGGTGTAGAAGATGATGAAGCTCTAACAAAGTAAGTATGAATTGTAATGAAAAGTGTTAGCTCAAGATACAAATGTGTTAGGAAATTAACAAGTTGGACACTGGGCAAATTTTGCAAGGTTTTAAAAATGAAATTATACACATATTTAATCACAAATTGCTTTCTGAACTCAATCCTATGACTATTTCCTTCACTGGATCCCATGGAATTTATTGGTATTTCCTTCTATGTATACAGGTTTAGGACTGGGCTAAAGTCATGAGTCATCTGTGTTATTGTTATTGTAGTTGTCACCTTAGCCCATTTCACACATTATAGAGCAACCAATCCCAATTTATCTTCATATGAGCACACAAGAACGTTGCATAAGTTTCCAAATGTATCTTAATTATATCCACACATTATTTTGGGGTGTACATTTTAAACATGTCAGGGCATCTATACTTCATATAGCAAATTATGGTGTATAACTGTTAATGCTAACGCTTTCCATAGCAAACAACTGTAGGCATGATAATCACATCTCTAAACACATGTAGTTACTGAATAAAGATTAAAAACACACACACACACATGTAGTAAGATGCATTTGTGTGCATGTGTGATAGGCACCCTTCGTAAGTTTATGGTAGGAAATATTTTTGTACAAGAGTGCAACCATTTATTGATCTATGGGCAGAGCTGCCTAAAGTGTAATCCTAAATTAGTATTTTTCAAATTTGACAACTTTAAGATGTGTGGACACATCTTAAAATTGCCAACTTTGAAAAACACTGCCCTAAATAATCTACAAGCAGCTCCCTGAATACATATTCTTGCTTATTCAATTAAACCATTAGGCCAAAGTACTTGCTAACATTTTTGGATTTTATTCTGCTATCTAATAATTGTGTACATACTTCAAAGATCTGTGTCACAGGATGAAGAGAAGAGTGACACCTGGTCCAAGGGACTTTTGAAGATTTTAAAGGGAAAAGATTGCCAAAAGAAAAGTATGCGAACAACAGCACCCAAAGTCAGTGTGACTGAAGATGAAAGTTCCTTGTAAGAGACTGCTGTGAAAAGTAACCCAAGCAAAGCTCACTAAAGCTAATACCACAGATACAATGATGATTATGCACTACTAACCACTTCTCACAGCAGCCTAACTAGCCACAAATCAAACATGCATGACATAACTCAAGCTACAGAAACACCACTTGACTATGAAAAACTGGGTCATATTCTGTCTTTTGGCTATCATGATTGCATGTGAGGAGAAGCGGTTTTGCTAGGAAGCAAGGAGAGATGGCTTCTACTGAGAGCAGACTCAGTGTACCATTCTGTGTAGCAGAATCAAGAGCAGCTAGATTGGACCCACTGGAATCAAAATGATTGGCCTTGTATGGCTCTAATTCACATCAGTTGGGTTTGCCCAGGAAAACATTCTGGTGGAGTGTGACTCCTAGTGGGTCACTGGCAGTATGGATTTCATAGGATTTCAGTGCTAAGTAGGAAGCACTTATTGTCATGGTCCTACTTTAATTATATTGCTAGCAATTTTGTTGATGTGATACAGCTGCACTCAGAGTAGATGCTTAAGGAATTGCTGTGTTTCATGAATTAAACAATAGTTGCAAAGGATCAAATGTGAGGGGAAAAAAATAGAATGAATTTCCTTTGCCTTTTTTCACACATGAAAGAACAGGAGAATCAGGAAGTATTCACTTCAAGGAGAATATAAACTCCAGTTTAGCAGAAATATTTCCACGTTTCTATTGCCTGCCCTCTTACAACACAAAGTTTGCATGGGTCTGATTCAAGCCAGTGCATTTCCTAATCCGAATGGACCTATTAATTGACTGCAAATGGATTTTCCTCTGAATTTAAAAATGACAGTTATTTCAGATTTGTCTTTGAAGCTACAGTTTGGATGTGGAATTGTTACAATCATGAGCAAAAACTATTATAAGTCATCTTTTTCTGATATAATATACACCAGTTTTCTATATCTTGCAGATGAAGGTAGGATGATTTGACTATACCACAGCATAAAACATGTGCAGGAGGTCCTTCATCAAATTTCTTTTCCGTTTAAACAAGATCAGGGGCCCAGCTACGCTACAAATCATCCCCAATGGAGAGAAAACCCTACTTGTTTTTCTTTATTGTTTATCTCATGTGCTACAGCTTGCAGTCTGTGGGTGTAGCATGGGGTCAGCAACAATAATATATTACATTTATGTAATACTTTGGAACTGTTTCAAGTCCTTCAAGTTATTTCATGCCAATGTATTTATTTCAGAGTGGTATAATAGCTTTAAAAATAGATACCTAAATATAGCCAAGAAACAAAGCCAAGAAAAGTTCAAGTGGATAAAAGGCAGAGGTTCTTGCTATTACAATATTCATAGATGTGTCACTTAATTATTTAAAGCAAAGATGGACAACTTATGGCCCTCTTGATGTTGAACCTACGAACCTCAGGATGTATGTTCAATGGCAAGAATTTAAGATACTTGCACTGTAATCTGAAGACCTGTGTGTTTGGCCACATCTGATTTGAAGCTGGGATAATACCAATTCCACCATTTCACATTATTAATTAAGGTTGTTTCTAAATTTATTTCTAGAGGGATACCTTCAGCAAGACAAACAGGGAAGGGTAAGTGGTTGGATCAAATTCTTTGACTGTGATTGACCTGAATTAGGACTACTATATCTGGGCTGCGGAAATCTGGTTAACCATAAGATGGCAGCAAAGAGATCTTAAAAATTCTAACCTTTTGCAGCCTGGATATGGTAGATTTAACTCAGTGTTTCTCAAACTTGGCAACTCCCAGAATTCCCCAGCCAGCCACTTTGGAGAAACACTGGTTTAACTTGTAGGAATGTCATAGATGTTTTCTTGTATGCAAAGCCTGTATCCCTTTTCTTCTTTCTCCTGTTATCCAAGTATCAGTGAACATATTGTATTTCGATGTATTGTCGAAGGCTTTCATGGCCAGAATACGATGGCTGGTGTGGGTCTTCTGGGCCGTGTGGCCGTGTTCTGGAAGTTTTGTTTCCTAACGTTTCGCCAGTATCTGTGACCGGCATCTTCAGAGAGCAGGAGCACGACAGGAGCAGTTCTCTCTGTGCCCAGCTGGACACGGCCACACAGCCCAGAAGACCCACACCAGCCATATTGTATTTCCTTCCACCAAACAACAATTAGAGAAGAGTCGTTTTGCTTCTGGCAGAAGCAGCAGAAGAAATTTCAATTCTGCCTGCTTTGCATCTACACTGTACCGGTCCCAGTCCTGACATAATGGGTCCTGCTATAACAAAAACAACAACAACAAAAACCCTCTGGTTATATCATTATGTAAAGACTGCCTTAATGTTAGCAGGAAGGGAGAGGCCCACTGCAGCAACTTCCCCATAATTCATTCTACTTTCCCTCAGTTACTCCGGTTTTCTGGTGGGGTCAGAATGAAATGGGCCGCACTGCACACACCCTGCATCCTTGAAGTGAGTCTATTAGGTACATCCTCTTGCTACTACAGTATTGTTATAAGTTTTATCTCACAGAACAGTCAGTTTGGAATTGTGGAAAAGATGCCATTGTTCTTCCGTGCTGGCCCTGAATGACTTACTTTCTAACCGAACACCAGTTCAAATACAGGTAGTCCTCATTTAGTGACCACAGTTGGGACCGGCAACTTGGTCGTTAAGTGAATTGATTGCCAAGTGAAACCACGACTGTGCTTATGATCTTACTTTGGCTTTCCTTTGCTTTCCAGACCTGTGAAGGGTGTAAGTGTGAGGATTGGTCACAAAGTTATTTTTCCATCAGCATTGTAACGGTGAACAGTTGCTAAACGAGGCAGCTGCTAAACAAGGAGTAACTGTAACGCTTTTAATGTTATATGTAGTTTGAGCCCAGAGACTGTTGGAAGGGACATTTTGGGGTATCTGCAATGACAAGCATAACATTCCTTTAATGGCAACAAATACTGACAACTAGCTTTGGGCCTACATAATATTAAGTGAATTCTTTTAAAATGTGTTGCTGTTTCCAAGCAATTCCAGATTCCAGCTCAGTGAGGTTAACAACAACTAGTAATGCAGCTTGGCAGCAAACAGAGGACACAATCCAAACCAGAAATATTACAAATAAGCCAAGAGTGCTCTGAAATGCATTAGCTAATTCTTAATTAACTCGGTCAGAAGGTCTTTAGATTGTTCAACACCATTTATATAAGAAAGATCGTGTAATACTCTGGTTTATAATTGTCATGGTATACCATAGTCCCCAGATTCTCTGTTACTCAATGTACTGTGGTCTGGCTTACATATAACACTAAGTCATGATTTCTTTTGCCTTGACTAAACTTTATTTGAATGGCTAACACAACCCAGGAAACAAACTATGGTTTATTTCTAAGCTGCAAACTTCAATGTCAAAGTTTTAAGATAACAAAGATAATGGTTTGATTTAAACTATGGCTTGTCATGTCTGAAATTGAAATCCTGACTTATTATTTTTGTCCAAATTTATCACCAAACTACATATACGAACATAACAAATGACTATTATCTTTTTTTTCCCAAATCTTTCTTAGATTCCGGAGATAGTGATGTCTATGATGATGTTGAATCAACTGACTTCCCTCCCCCACCAAAAGAAATTAGGTGAGTTAAAATCAATAAAAAGGTTTTATTCAATAATGCCTTTTGTTTTCTTTTGCACAGAGTAGGGGATGGCTGAGTTGCTGTACAAAGTAGTAAATATAACAAATAACTTGCAACTGTCTATAAATATACCAAAGTAATGCACTGATGGTTATCTTTTTTTATCCCAATATATTGTTTTAGCCTAGGGATAAATATAAAATCTTTGAACTTTGGGAGGGGCAAATCCGATGGACGTGATTCACAGAAGCTTAAGAAGATTGATAAAGAAGAGAAAGATTTTCGGAAAAAATTCAAAGTAAGTATTCGTTTGCTTGTTTGCAATCTACCTTTCAGCTAGTAATGGAAAAGGGAGTTAAATAAAGTGGAGTGACAAAAAATCCTAAACATATCAATGGAACATCTGACCATTATATAGTTTCCTAGCTTCACAAGAGCCCATAATACTGGCCAGGGGTCCAGTTTCACCAATATGCTGATGATTCCCAGCTATGCATTTTAGTCCCATGCCAAACTGGTGAAATGGTAGAAGTGTTGACCCAGTGCTTGGAGATCGTCAGGGCCTGGATGGAGAGGAACAGGCTCAGAGTGAATCCCTTCGAGATAGATGGCTTTGTTTTTTTTCTGAGCCAAGTAATTCCAGGGGAAAATTGTTTTCGGCTCTGAACAGAGTTGTACTGCCCTGGGCAGAGGTGGCTTGCAATTTGGGGATCCTCTTGGACTCATAACTCCTTCTCGATCAGCAGGTGGCAGTTGTGGCCAGGAGGACTTTTGTACAGTGACATTTTTTTCAGCAACTGCAGCAATTCTGGATGGGGAAACCCTGTGCCTTACAGTAGTTACTGCTCTTGGAATATTGTAATGTGCTGTACAAGGGATGGTGTTAGAAAGGACTTGGAAGCTACAACTGGTACAAAATGCAGTGGCCAAGGGAGCGATAGGTGTATTCCAAAATATTCAGGTGACTCCACTGCTTCAGGAGCTGCATTGGTTGTTGGTTGGTTCTGGGTATGATTTAAGATGCTGTGTGTCTCCCTTAAGGCCCTGAATGGCTCCAGACTGAGCTATCTGCTCAGATCTTTATGGAATTGGCAGCCTTTTAAATTTGACAGATAAATACATTTGACAAAATAACTATCTCAGGAACGGACTTCTACTGAATTCATCTGCCTGTCCAAATCAGCATGAATTGGGTCAATTCCCTCCAAGTCCCATCTATACAAAAATGCCATCTGATAGGGCCTTGAAAACAAGCATTTTCAATCACTGCCCTCACACCATACTCTACAGCAGTAATTTTCAAACTTGGCAACTTTCATTCTTTAAGCATGGGGAGTTCTGGGAGTTGAAGTCCACACATCTTAAAACTGCCAAGGTTGAGAACCTTAGACCATTTCTTTAAAAGGTTAATTCCTCAAAGCTGACCAAGACACTTTTCAAAAAGCTGCCTTAGAGAATAATTACTCATCTTTCACTCCCCTGGGAAAAGTGTGAAAGTGGTATTATATTTCCTCATTATAAACAGTGCTAGCCAAGCTGTTTGTAGGTACAATTGCAAAGGGAAGTCATTCAGTCGTCTCATGGGAGAGTTCAAGTCTTGATCCAGAGGACATGCAAATCTCTGAAGAGCACGATGCATGGTTTGGTTTGCACTTCTCCGTGGACCAAAAAAAACCCTTGCATCCAACTTGCCACCGCACTATATGCTTCCTCGCTCACCTATACAGTGCAACTGCTCTTCTGAAGGTGTAAAATCCAGTACCCCTAGGACTGGATTGCATGACTGATTAACAAAAGAAGTGCTCTGATAGATCAGACCAAAGGCTATCTGGTTTAGCTTCTCTTCCCACTTTGGTGAAGCAGAAATCTCCGAGAAACCACCGGCAGGATATGAGGGCATTTGAACTTGAGGGATATGAGGGGATATGAACTTTCCACTCATGTTCCTTACTGATTGGCCTAGAGACTTCACCTGCATCTTGGAAGTAAAATATTACCATCCTGACTACTAGTTATGAATAGCCTTATTCTCCCAGTATCTGTCTAATCCTCTTTTAAAGCCATCCCACATGGTGGATGTCATCATGTCACATTGCATATTTCACAGATTAAGTATAACCATTATAAAGAAAAGTTTCCTTTTATCTGTCCTGAATCTCCTGAATGATCCTAGAAGTTCATTCAGGATCTCAGATTCCTCTTCTCACACTGCGTATATTTCTATACCCTTCAGCTATGGTCTTCTTTTTCACTTTTTTCCTAAGCTAAGAAACCCCTGATTTTGCAGTGTTTTTTCACAGGGGAATTATCCCAAAGTCCTTGTTGTGCCAACACTCTCATGTGCTTTTAGGTAGTGTAATGGTATGTGGGAAAGACCTTGCAAGACTGGGCAAAGAGATGCTGCCAAGGGAAGGGTCAGATAAGAGATAGCATGGCTGGCTGGGGAATTCTGGGAGTTGAAGTCCACCCATCTTAAAGTTGCTAAGGTTGAGAAACACTGCTTTATGATGTCAGGAATGGGATGGAGAAGCAACAGTTGGATCATTGACTCACTCCCCAACTGGGATAGGATCCTGATATAGAACCTATCCAGTCCCTTGCCTGGTTCATCAGGTGAGAAGAATAGCTGAGCAAAGATCACTCACTATCTAATCAAATCATCTTGTACTGTATGCTTTGGGAGGGAAAGTCAAGAAACAAACCATGAGTGTCAGATAATAGCCTAATCTTCCAGCAAGGTTATATTTTATTAAACTGTACACAGAGCCACAAGATTTTGACCTCGCTTCACTCAGTCATTGCCCAGGGAGTATTTTGCAATTAAGGAACAATAATTTGCCATTCTAGGTATATAAACAGACATTTGACTTTTGTTTTAATATCTATCATTCTATAGCAAAAAAACCAACAAAAAAAGGAAAGAATAACAAATAAAAATCCAGTGGTAATTTTAAACACATGCACCCTAAATATCTTGCAGGCAAGAATTAAGAAGAAATTAAGAATTAAGTAGTGATTTTAATGTTTTTGTACAAGTAAACTATCATTCATTTTATTTCCACAGTATGAAGGCGATATTCGAGTTCTGTATACCACCACCATATCTAGAGCACCATCCCCCAAGAAAAGAGGCTCCAAAGATTTGCAAGTCAAGCCAGGAGATACGGTTGAGGTTATTAAAAATGTGGATGATACTAAAGTCCTCTGTAGGAATGAAGAAGGAAAATGTAAGTACTAAAACACAAGAAAAATCATCTCCCGCTTCTGTTATGCAAGAATAGGAAGTTATGTAGAGCAGAATGGGCATTGTGGCCATCCAAATATCGTTGAACTCCAACTTCCATCAGCCCTAGTGCTTATGGCCAAACGTAAGAGATAATGGGGGTTATAATCTAATCACTTTTAAAGAACAATAAAAGTATAGAGGCTCCTTGTACCTTCAAGATCACTGTGGGCCAGACAGGCATTACTAGCAATGGCCCAAACGATTTTCAGATTAATTACAGAACATAATTATTCTGAGCACTGCTGAATGTTTTTTATTTATTTTTAATAGGTCCTTGCTAAGGTCCTATTGCTCTTTTACATTGAGACACACCTATTGATGGTTAAAATAATCTGCAGCAAAAAAAAAGAGAGAGAGAGAGAGAATGCATTGTGATTGTGGGGAAAGCAAGAGGCAGAGAATACTCATCTATAACTGGAGGGAAGGGCTGGGTTCATATATCACAGTAAGCCACAACTTGTTTAGCCAGGTCTTGTTAAATAAACTCCAGTTGGATAGTTTTATTCCAGCCATAAGCCAAGGTTTATAAACTGCAGTGGCTACATTGATCCAGTGCACAAAGCCAAGGCAAACACACCACATTATTCACTTAGCATGATTCATGAACTAAGACGTTGATGCATTTCCTAGCCACAAATTTGGGTCATCGTTAGGTTCTTGGGTGCCAGCACCAGCCTGAATATAATTCTGAATATTGTGCTGGCAGTAGTAGCTGTTTTGGGTTGGAAAAAGTAAATTTGCCCATGTAGATGCGTGAGCGTTCCTGTGAGCTGGAAGCCAGGGTCAGCAAAGCCAGTTTATAAGAGAAAGTGGGTTTATTTAAGGCAATTGTCACAGTGTGACTGATGGTACTTTTACAGCTGGGTGTGTGTGTGACTTTAAGCAGAACAATTGCTTCACAGAGACAGAGGCTTTTTTGTTTCTATTACTATGTAAAAGTAGAAGATTTACAGGGATTAGGGAAAAACAGAACTATTTACAGCAGTGTGTCCAAACTTCCCAGTACAAAGTTTCTTCCTCCCTCCAGCCTCTCCAAGACTCCAACTTTCCCTACCTCTTTCCCAGACCATCCTCTCCATTGCTTAGTTACTAACCCCCCCCCCCCCCCGCTCAACTTTATCCTCCTCCCTCCTCTTCGGCTTTTTACTGAGAGAGAGAAAGGCTGATTTATTCTGGTGCATGCCTAAAGCCTTTATTTGTGCATGTTTGGACTCCAACAGCCTTCCCTCTACGTTGATGTTGAGTGATGCACCTCTGTCTAGGTCTTCTGCCCAGCTCTTCCTAATCTGGGGCTTCCTTGAGGTCTCCAGGTGTCCTTCTGCAGGCAGCCACCTCCTTGTATCCCCAACTGTCTTGGGTTCTGGGTGAAGCACATCCCTCTGTCTGGGTCTTCACTTCTCCTAGGGAAGCCTTCAGCCGATGTTTTCACCTCTCTTCTCTCTCTGGGGCCAGGAAATGGCAAATGCACAGTCCAGTGGCCCAGAACACTCCCAGCAATGTCCCTTTCCAGCCACCAGCTTCCCATCCAGTCTGTCCAAAGGCTCTCCATCTGTCTTGATGCCTCAAAACAGCACAGGTTCAGATGTGGTCCTGTCTGTCTGTCTGTCTGTCTGTCTGTCTGTCTCTCTGTGTGTGTCTCTCTCTCTCTCTCGCAACTGAGAAGGTTGGTTTTCCCTTCCAGGGCTTAAGACCCCAACACCTATATATGAGGCTTGACCAATGAGGATGCTGCCTCCATCTGCCCCACAATAGTCCTGGCTAGCAGCCAGGGCAGCCCATCTCCCCCATGACAGCACATGGGGAGCTGCACCTAAGGCCATAGCTGAGCTGCTCCTCCCCATTTTCTTCTCTTTCCTTCTGCTGACTCACATCAGCTCACCAGCAGCCAGCCTGGCCGAAAAAAAGCATATGCCACAGCAATATACAATAAGGGGAGAGTCAGTGAGCAAAAGGCTTCGTGTATGCAAGCTTTGGGAACAAAGGCAAAAGGAAGACCCTGAGATTGGCAGTCTCATAGACAAAAGAGTGGATAGAGTGAAAGACAGGGGTGAGTTAGGAGTGAGCCCCTAACTCTCTGTCTACACCCCAGTGCCCCATGTGGTTAGGAGAAACTGAATAGTCGGTGCCACTAAGTCACACACTTTCAATATTGTGCTGCTTAGTTAATATCAAGAACTGAAAAATCAATCAACATATTTCAGCAATGATAATGAATTTCACGTAGGGGCAGTCTCAAACCATCTGTCATGTTCTAGTGAAAGGAAAATAATAATGAGGCTGCAGAAATTTAGATGGATAAAGGTGGACTGAATGAATGTGGCCTCCAGGAGAAAACAAGACAGGTTTGGCTTCCAGTTGTCTGGAATTCCCTTATCCTTCATTCTAAGAGAGGAAAATGAAAGCTTGATATTGGATGCTACCATTGCACTGAAAGAAAACTTTACAAATACATCTTGTAGAAAACGGCCTAGGAATGATTTTTAAAATGTACTTATATAGAGACCTATCTCTATACAAGAACATCCTCACTGATATGATAGGTTATTTCTAGGTCATTTTTGCTAGGTCATTTCTCTATGAACCAATTATCAGTGACAAAGGGATAATAAAAGGGCAACTTTTCTAAATTTGGGGTTCTCCTGAACAAGTAGGCCATGATTCCAAAATTCCCAGCCTAGCATGACCTCCAGAAATCTGGGAGTTGCAGTCCTACCCACCTGGAGAGTCCAAAGTTGTCATGGACAGAAGGAATAACCTTGAGGAACAAGAGGAAGAGCCGCTATCTGACAATGGTCAGATAAAAGAAATCTGAGTCAGGTCAGAACTGTAACCTGAATAAGTGTCTCAGACAAGACCTCCCTAGTTCTTGGGAAGGGGAGGGAGGGAGGAAGAGCATTCAGACGTGCAAGATTCTGTTACCGTAACCTTATAAGAAAAGTAGTATTAGCATGCATGACTTTGGTTTCCTAGTCTGGTCTACCTTGAAGAGCTGACAAAGGTTTGGTGATGTGTTGGCTCCTTCATAAAGAGCTTTCCTTTCTACATCTTATCATCCTTCTGATGCACTGGGACTTCAGCTCCTAGAACCTCTTTCCAGCATGCCAAGAAATGCAGGAGTTGTAGTCCCAACATATTGGGAGGTTAGTTGGTTATGGAAGGGAAACTTTTCCTACCACATGTAATGTGGGCAAAATATAATTTTGTTTGAATAATTCTTGGAATCTATTAAGGAGCCTCTAGATGATGGTATTGTGGCCAATTGCCTTTATTCAGCATCCTGCTGAATGGAATGGTAATTCTAGCTTGCTTTTCTGAAGGCACCTGGTTCTCATGAATAAGTCTGCTTGTTACCCATCTCTTTCCCCAGGGAGGTATTATGGATTGGAATTATAGGAATGCAGACTGAGGCTTGTGTGACCTTTCAGTTTATTTCTCTACAAACCCCCAGGAACTGGCACTATTCCCTACAGCTCTGCTCCTCCTTTAAGTTCAAAACTCTTAACGGTCGGGGATACTCCTAAATCAGAGTGAGATTACATTATTTGCCTTCTGGAATCCAGAGATGTAGCCCATCGTAAATCATAAATGGAGCCTTCAAAGGACACCATTCATACCGTTACTTCAGTAAATAGGATTGCATGCAACATCCTAAAGCATAACTTTGCAATCTTTTTGGTTCTCAGAGAGATTTCTTTTTAATATTCCGTTCTATCTGAAGGGGTCCATTGTGTTCTATCCAATGTATCATTACTTGGTCTATCACATTAGAGCAGAGTCTGTGGCACAGGACTTGCATGAGGCTTGCCAGATTGTGGGAGCCATGTCAAGAGGCTCAGGTGTGGCCTCCTATGTCCCCCCACCACAGTTCTGTGACCCACTACCCGCCACCCATCTCTGCCTCCTCCTGCCACCTCTTCTGATGTGTGTTGTTCCTGCTTGAAGAAGACCGAAATGAATTATGTTACAGAGCGCCATAGATGTGCCGTACCAATCAGAGCCATGAAAAAGGAGGCTTGGTGGGATGGCAAAGTTAAGGAGGCTAAGGATGGGGGGAAGTACAAAAAAGAGAATAACTGTTGCAAAAAAAAAAAAAAAAGTGTACGCTGTGTAGAGTGAGAAAAAGATAGCTGCAGTGAAGAGAGAGCAAGGAGTGGTTAAGATTAAAAAAACAAAGAAATGCAGAGCAATTTTGATGGAAACAAATCGCTTTGGAAGTGAGTGAAAAGGGTGAAGGAAGGAGCCCCTGGCAGAATGAATGGAATTAAAAATAAAAGTGGTAAAAAATTGGGGGTGCAAACTGAAGTGAGGTAATATTTGGAGGAGTACTTGAGAAAGCATATGGGAATAACAGTGATATGTCAGAGTCGATTTAAAACAAATATTATACATATTTCTGAGTAAAAACAGATGAAATGGAATCATAAATGATCTGTGAAATTGAAAAAATGGCATGGCTGATGTCACAGGAGAAATGTCAAAAGATGGATGTGGTTTGCTTATGGAGTGGTGGTGTGTTTTCTGTGTCTGATGACTGGGAGAATTACTGTTCAAAGGGGAAAGTAGTGAGAATGAATACAGGGGGATTTGTTTATTAAGAGTGGGAAGGTGTTTGGCAGAATACTGACTGGAAGGATATGAGCAGTGCAAATGAACAAGGTATGCCAGGCTGCAGTTCTGCAGACTGTTTTTTGTTTTTCAGCAAGTCATTGAGAAATATATCTGGGTATTTTTTTAAAGGGGAAAACTGAATGAATGATTTGCATATGTTGCACAAAGCCTGAGCAAGCAGATGAATGTTTATATCTTTCTGGGTGGTTTACTAAAAATAGAGAAATGGATGCAAATGTTGTGGTCTATTGTGAGGGGTCAGTTTGCCAAAAGAAAAAAAACTCCCCCCCCCCCAACTTTGTATAAAAGTGTGCTTCTGTATACACATTATTAGAAGGAAGTAACGGCTGGGTATCTCAGGAGAAACATAAAAGTAAGTTGAATGCAATGGGAATGGCTTATTTAAGATGCGTGAATGGTAATTCACCAAGTGATAGGATCAAGAAAGAATGGGTGATGAATCAAAGTTGATGCGCAA